CAACAACAACACACACACACACACACACAAGACACACACACACACAGAACACAAACACACATTCACTCACTCACAACACACACACACACACACACACACAAACACAAACACACACACACGGGCGCACGGCTACTTCTTGACCCATCTGCCGAGGGCGGTGCGCTCCTCGCGGCCGCGATGGCACATGTCGTCTGGCAGCATCTCCAGGGTTGTGGCCGTGAACCCGAGCGGCTCCAGCAGCGACTTGACCAGGTCCATGCTCATGGCATATGGCGGGCCGCCCTCCTTCTCCACAATGGGGAAGATGAGCGTGACCAGCTCCCCCTGTGGCGCCAGCAGCTTGTGCATCTGCGCGGCCCACTTCTCGCGCGCGTTCGGGTGCAGCGCACACAGGAACGTGTAGTCGTAGATGACGTCAAACTGGCCCTCCAGCTCAAAGAAGTTGGCCGCGCGCAGCTCCAGGAGACCCTCCTTCGGCTTGTCCTCGACAGAGTCCACAAACTCCTGTGCGGCCTTGACGGCCGTGTGCGCAAGGTCCACGCCGAGCGTCTGGTAGCCGTGTCGCGCAAACTCCAGCGGTGCGTATGCCCGCCCGCACCCAGGCACCAGCGCACGCCCTGTGGTTGTGGCAACACGAATACCAGGGACGGCGGTGCGTGTGATTGTGTGTGATTGTGTGATTGTGTGTGTGTGTGCGTGTGCGTATGTGATTGTGATTGTGTGATTGTGTGTGTGTGTGTGTGTGTGTGTGTGTGTGTGTGTGTGTGAGCATGAGCTTGACGTCGCTGAACGCATCAACGCAAGTGAAAACACAGATACAAACACAAACACAACCACAAGTGCAGACACAAACACAAGCAGACACAGAATCACCAGCAAACGCACGCACCAACACATAACATTCATTCACCTTTGGGAAGGGCGTTGGTGTCGAGGAGGTGCTTGAGGATAGGGGCTGGGCCCCTGGCGTCAAAGCGTTGTCCAGGCTCCAAGCCATCAGCCCAAATCTGCTCCCATGTCTCCGAGACGCCAGCGCGCGTCTTGTCGTCGTGCTGCTCCTCCGGGGTCAGGTTTGTAACTTCCCGCGTGTTCTTTGCCGTCGTCTTCTTCTTTGTGCACTCCATGTCGCTCATGTCTGCTGGTGCTGGTGCTGGTGGTGTGTCTGCGTCTGTGTTTGACTTTGCGTTTGACTTTGCGTTTGCGTTTGTGTGTGTGCTTGTGGCGAAGAAAGCTGCGGTGTGCTGAAGTTGATGTGGTCGTGGTCGCCGTGGCAGAGCTGTCGTTGTTGTCCGAGCCAAGCTGCGCTGCAAAAAATGCCCTGCACGCAGACACAACAGATGTGTGCACAGCAGCAGCACCACGGCAGTACCGTGAGACCTAGCGTGTCTGTGTTGGCGTCATCATCACCATCATCATCACCACGCATCATCGCCAACAAGGCAACAGGCAGCAACCATGACGAGCAGCACACGAACACCACCACCATCAACAAACCTCGTCCGGCGCCGCGGCAAAACAGTGCTCTCAACATCATGAAAAGTGCTCCCCCGAACGCAAAACAAAAAAGTCAACAACTAACATAAAAAAGCATGGAATCAATTTGGTCACACCAGTTATTTTTTTTCATGTTCCTTCGTGTAGGTCGTTGCAAATTGCACCACCCAACCGACTTGGTTGCACTTCCCGCACCCAACCACCCACGCGTTGCAAAATGAACTTTTCAAGTCGCCCTGTATGCGCATTAGGCCAACAAGCACGAGCAAGCGCAGCAGCAACAAGAACAACACGTGGTGGTGGATCGTTCGTTTTGATCTAGGTTTCGGCTGTCCTGGCAAACCGTTTTTTTGCCCCGCGTGGTGCGTGAGCAATGTCCTTCTTCGTCATGCTCGTTTTGTTTGCTTGTTGCTGCTGCCCCGCCTCCTCCTCCACACACACACGCCCACGTTGCCTTGCTTGCTTGCGTCGTTGCCTCGTGTTTGTGTTTTGTTTGGATGCTTGGCTTTCGCTGTGGCCTTGTGTGTGTGCGTGTGCATGTGTGCGTGGCGCGCACATAAACACAACCACATGCCACACACATGCACGCGCTCTCCACACACGCACATACACACACCCCCACGACGAGCAAACAAACAGTTGTTTCGCCCTCTCCTTCCTCTCCTTCCTCTCTCCTTCTTCCTCCCCCCCCCGCTACATACCCACGCAGGAACTCCTTCACTTTTGTTTTTTGTCCTTGGTGAGCGAGCGGGCAACTGGTTTCCCCTGTCATGACGCTGATTGTGCTCAGCGCTTTTGCTTGCTCTGTTTGTTCACGTCCTCCTTCCTTCCCTTTGTTTTGGTTTGTTTGTTGTTTGTCGCGCTCACGCATGCTTGCTATCTTTGACTTGCCTTCTTGCTTGCTCGTGTTTGTTTGGTTCGTTCGTTCGTTCGTGATTTCCCATGCACTCACCCCAGCACATCAACACATTAACATCGCACACACTTCACAGCGCGACACATACACACACACGTGTCCAACGGTCCTTTCCCAAGCAGGTGCGAGTAAAGACGGGGAACAAACACTTTTTGTGGGTGCCTGTGTTGTTTCTTTTTTTCTCGCTCCATCTTCGCTGACCATGTGCGTGCCGGTGTGCTTGCCTGTTTGCCGATGTGACACGCATTCTTGCTTGTTTGCTTGCTTTGTTAGTCATCTTCAGCCATCATCACGTGCCTGGCTTGTCCTGTCGAACCAAACTCACGCATGTCGACCGCTGCTGTTTGTGTTGTTTATTTGGTCTCTTCGTGTTTCTTGCCCCTGCCTTGCTCAATTCCCGCAGCACACCACAACACACGCTCCAGCTCAGCAAATCTGCCTGCCTGCAAGCACATCACCCCCTATCGACAAGTATGTTTGTGGGTGGGTGGGTGTGGTTGTCTTTGTGGCTTGTTTGTTTGTGTTTGTCGAGTGTGTTTGTCGAGTGTGTTTGTCGAGTGTGTTTGTCGAGTGTGTTTGTTTGTGTTTGTGTGTGTCTGTGTCTGTGTGTCTGTGTGTGTGTGTGTGTGTCTGTCTGTTTCTGTGCCTGTGTGTGTGTCTGTGGGTCGATGCAGATGCACGTGCTATGACTGTGCCGTTGTGCCTGTGCCGTTGTGCCATGTGCTCCCTCAACAAGAACCACCATCGACTCACATTCCACCACACCCGCACACCCACACACCACATTGTCCTCCCCCCGTTCTGTCCGTCCCCAATCCCCCCCCCCCCAAACAACCACACACACTGGTTCAAACGCGTTCCCATGCATGGTCTTGTGCATCCCATCTACCCTGTTCATGACTTTCATAGTCGCTTGTGGGCTTTGAATTTTTTTTGTTGGCTTTGTTGTTGTGAGCGCGAGCAAGCAAACAAACCACCCGGACCTTGCCACGTGCCTCTTCACCTCACGCATCCCGAACACGACAACCTCAGCTGCACCCTTTTCGTTGCTGCCTTTCCCAGCCTCTTCGCACGCGTTTGACCACAACGTTCGACACAGCAAGCCACAAGCGTGCCTGAGTGACCCTTCTCAACAACCCCCCCCCCTTCACAACACAGGTACACCACGTGTGTGTGTGTGTGTGTGTGTGTGTGTGTGTGTGTGTGTGTGTGTGTGTGTGTGTGTGTGTGTGTCTGCCTGTCTGTCTGTCTGTCTGTCTGCCTGAGTGTGTTTGTTCAGCCACACACATGGGCGTACGCGACCACGTGTCTTGTGTCCGCCTCCCCCCCCCCCTCCTCTCTCTTTCCTGCTGGCTGCTTGCCCTTTTGTTCTTTCTGGTTTGCTCTGTTCATTGTTTTCTGTTGTTCACCTGTGTGTCGGCGACACACATGCATCGGTTAGCAACCCCCCCCCCACCCCGAGTGGATAGAGTGTCATGTTCCGTCCTCCTCCTCCTCCTCTCTGACTGCTCCATGTCTCATTTGTCGACACATTGCATTTGCACTGACTTTGCCAACACTTTTGCTCACCACCTCGCCCAAACACCACCTCCTCGCCCCAACACCACAACACACCTCTCGTCTTCCTCCCCCCTCCCTGCCTCCCTCTCTGCAGGCGTTGTTGTGCCATGTCTGCTGAGAGCAGTCAAGATGCCGTTGCCACCCAACACCGAGGCGTAGTCCCCAACGTCCCCAACGGCGGCGTGCACTCTGCCTCCTCCCAGTTTCAGCCCTTCAAGCAGGCCGCCGCCCCACAGCAGCAGTTTCACAACCAGCAGCTCGTGCCCGGTGCATTTCAGGCCCCAGCCGCCTACCAGCAGCAACAACAACAGCTGTTCGCCCAGCAACAGCATGCAAATGGCCACGCAAATGGCCACGCAAATGGCCATGCGAATGCGCATGCGAATGGACATGCCGACGGCAACGGCAACGGACATGACGCTGTAACCAACAGCCAACAGGCGCGCAGCAAGACCCCCATAGCCACACAACTGCTTGAAGAAGGCGATGCAATGACGACGAGCACCCGCCGGCGGGCCGGCAGCCTGTCGCGGGCGCGGGCATCGAGCCTGCCCATTGCGCCCAAGGGCGTACCGCTGCGCCGCGACCAGACCAAGGCATACCTCAAGGCAACCACCCGCGCCACCGCGTCGCCAATCACCGCGGACCACATCTCGCAGCACCTGCACGACCTGTCGATGAGCCCGGCCACCACCATCGCCGTCACCACCACGGCCAGCAGCCCCGGGCCCCACCCCACGGCTACCAACGGCGGCGTGCGCACGCGCTCCAAGCTCTCACACGAGCAGCAGCACCCAAAGGACGAGGCGGTGGTTGGCGATGGGGCCATGGGCCGTCCGCGCGCACACACGTTGCAGGTGCCCATGTACGCCCCGAGCCCGGGCGCGATGGAGGTGACGCCGACAAAGGCAGGGACGCCGCGGGCGCGCCGCAGCTCGCGAAACGGCTCCAGGCCGCGCGGCAGCCGGTCCAAGAGCAAAGTGGAGGAGCCCGTGCAGCCAGACTCTGGCAGCGACGAGGACAACGCCGGCGACGATGATGACGACGACGACGACGACGGCACCCACCCGCGCTCCCGCCGCGTCTGCCACAACGGTAAGAGCCACAGCCCGTGTCACGTGTGCTTGTGTTGTTGGGGGGGGGGGGAATGTGTGTGCATGTGTGGTACGTGTGTGTGTGGGTGTGGGTGTGTGTGTGTGTGCTGTGTATGTGTATATGTGTGTGTGAATGTATGCGTGTGTGTGGTGTGTGTGTGTGTGTGTGGTGTGTGTGCGTGTACATGTGTGCGTGTACATGTGTGCGTGTGCGTGTGTTTGCGTGCGACCGCGTTTCTCTCTGTCTGTCGAACTGCGTCCTTGTTTCACATACATACATACACGCATCTCCCTCTCTCCCCTATCGCCTCACCACCTCACTCACAACCCCCTCCCCCACAACAAAAATACGCATAAACACAGAGCGCGAGCGGAGCCGGCGCAAGAACCTGCGCCAGTGCTTCCTGCGCTGCCAGCAGGTGACGCCGTCGATTGCGCACGACCGGAATGTGGCGGACCGGGTGCTGCTGCAGGAGACGCGGGACTATGTGATGAAGCTGCAGGAGGACCACGACACGCTGCGCCGCTCCATCCGCGACCTCGAGTTTGAGCTCCTCGTCGCGCGCTCGGGCCACCCCGAGGTGTTTGGCGAGGACCGCGCAGAGATGGAGAAGCTTGCTGAGCACCTGGCCCGGCTCAGCAGCCGTGAGGGCGCGTCCATGCTGCTGCAGGCCATGGACGAGTCTGAGGGCGGCGGGCTCAACGAGTCGTACCACGGCAGCACGGAGTACAGTCAGCACATGGCCGCTGTCACAACCGCGCACGCAAACGGCAATGGCAACGGTGCAGGCAGGCAGGCGCGCAGGGGCGGTTACGTTGTCGGGCGCAGACAACGGCAGGTTACCGTATGACCACAACAGCAGCCGCTCCTCTTGTTCTTGTGGTTCGTGTAGCTGATGATGATGATGATGATGATGATGATGATGATGATGATGTATTAGTTTGTCCCCGTGTGTCCAAATCACTCAGGAGCTGCGAGTGTGCTGGTAGCGATGTCGGGCGTGTTGAGGGGATTGCCATGCGAACGCCATGCTGTTGGCATGGTTGCACTTGCCAAACCCTTTTGCAACCCCCCCTCCCCCGCTCTTTCTTTTAGTTTGCTTCCCGTCAAGGCCTGTGCTTGGATGGTTTCCGTTACATTACAACACTAAACACACGTTTATGACGGTCCCCTGCTCGTTTCATTCTTCCCTTCCCTTCTTTTTCGCATTGTCACTCTCTTGTCTGTTGTTTCGCATGAGTCCCGCCTTGCCTTCTTACTCTTCCTTTTCTTTACCCTTTTTGTTTGCTTGCAAGCATGCTGTTGTTCTTTTGCGCCGCATTGCTTGAGCGTTTATTCGCATCAAAGGCTGCCCTATAAATTGACCACATCGTACGCTCAACGAATGGGTTGTGGGTGTGTATTGGAGGGGGGGCTTGTGGTGTGTGTGTGTGTGTGTGTGTGTGTGTGTGTGTGTGTGTGTGTGTGTGTGTGTGTGTGTGTGTGTGTGTGTGTGTGTGTGTGTGTGGTGGTGGTGGTGGTGTGTGTGTGTGTGTGTCTTAATCAACTCAGGTTACGATTCGTATTGCACCCGAGGATCGATATGCACCTAGCTGAGAGTCTATTGCTGGCGGGCATCCACGGGCATAACTCATCTCGGTCACTGGTCACCCTTTATGATTTATGCGAACTCCCATTTATACATAAATGAGGAGCGAAGACGCGTCCGACGCGGAGGACCCTTCCATCAGCCAGTTTACACTCTGCCAGGCTCAATCTACCGTCAGAATGAACCATGCAAACTCGTGTGTGTGTGTGTGTGTGTGTGTGTGTCGTGTGTCGTGTGTGTGTGTGTCTGTGTGTGTGTTGTGTGTGTGTGTATGTGTGTGTGTCTGTGTGTCTGTGTGTGTGTGTGTGTCTGTCTGTCCATCTGGGTATCTGCCTATCTCTGTGCCACTCCACTCTATCCATCCACCCATTCCTCCACCCCTTCCATTGCGCCGTCCCTATATTCCTCCATTCCCCCTCCACCTCCGTCTCTCATCCTGCCATTGCGTTCGGGCGTTTATGGATCGACCAACTAAAGACAAGTGGGTGGGGGGCGGAAGGGTCAGCTACACGCAGATAAGCCGAGTGAGAATCAACATCCCAAACAAAGGTGCGGAAGACAGAGCGAAGCACAACGAGGCAGTATGGTGGCGAGGGAAAGTGACAACGGCATGCAAACGCAGGTGGACAGGGGCAGGGACTCTCAAGAGCGCAACGAAGATGAAACAAACAAACAAACAAACCAAGGAGTGAATGAATGAATTGGGCAAATGGTACATGATGCGGAATGGGAAAAGTATACAAACAAAAAGAGAAAGAGACGTAGAGAGGAGACAGCAAGCAAGGGCTAACATGCAAACCAGACGTATGCGTGCATGCGTGCGTGCGTGCGTGCGTGTGTGTGTGTGTGTGTGTGTGTGTGTGGAGGGGGGAATGTAAGTTGTCGCAGCTGCCATGCTTGGTGTCGACAATGGCGACCGGCACACAGCAACGCAAAGCACACGCAAGCAAGCACAGCGCACGGCAAGGCCAAAACGCATTGCTGTTCACTGTTATCAGCGGACCAATACGCACGCGAAAACACGCACAAACACATCTGTACACACACACACACATCTGTACACACAAACACACCTGTACACACCTGTACACACCTGTACACACAAACACATCAACACACCCACATACACACTACATCAACACACCCACATACACACTACATCAACACACCCACATACACACACACACAAAACTAGACATCAGACACGATGACGTCCTTGTATATTCTGTCGATGATGGCGAGGGATTCCTCCAGCGTTGCCCACTCGTCCTTCTTCCTCCTGGCACGTGCCTCTCGCATGGCTCGCAGCTTGGCGGCGCGGTCATTCTCGGAAGGTTGTGCTGGTGGCTGGTCGCTCGCACCATCGCTGCCGCTTGCGCCGTTGCTGCTGTCGTGTGCGTGTGACTCTGTTGCCCTCGTCTGTTGTTGCTGCTGCTGATGCTGCCCACCACCAGGCGACGTGACGATGTGAATGGGAGGGGACTGGGGCCTGTCTGGAGACTGCAGGGGGCGTGATGGTGATGGCTGTGACAAGTGGGATGTGCGTGACGCACCCTCATCTGCCGTCGTTGTCGCTGTAGTGGCTGTCGGCACGGACGAGTTGGCTGTCGCCTCAGCCGCCCCAGCATGGCGTCCTCCCTGCTGTTCCTGTTGTTGTTGCTGCTGCCGCTCTGCTGGGGATAAGACGGCAGCAAACCCCGTGGTGACCTCGAGCTCCTCGCCCGCGTCGTGTGCGGTGTCCTGTGTGCCCGTGGTGGCGCTGGTGGACTCCGAGGAAGACGCCTCGGGCACGGGCAGCAGCACCTCCTGGTCGGTAACGTGGTCCCTGGACGCTTCCATGCTCGCGTTGGACTGGGAGAGCCCGCCAATGGAGGCGTTGGAGTCTGACGACATGATGGACGAGTGGCGGGAGAAGAGCGGGTTGCTCTTCTGCTTGCCTTCCTGGAACATGGCTGGGGTTTCCGCCATGTCGTTGACCACGTGGTCCTTTGTCAGGAGGCGGTGGCTGGGCGGGCTGCCGGGCGACTTTTGCCGTCGTCTGCGTGAGTTGCAGCAGCAGTACACCACAATCAGAGCCACGCCCATCACAAAAGCCAGGCCTCCAATGGTGAAGGCCACAATGTGCCATGGCTCGACCTGCAATGCCATGGCGAAGGGCGTTGTTGCCTGTTGCCTGTTGCCTGTTGCCTGTTGCCTGTTGCCTGTTGCCTGTTGCCTGTTGCCTGTTGCCTGTTGCCTGTTGCCTGTTGCCTGTTGCCTGTTGCTTGCTTTGGTGAGGTTGTGTTGGCAAACGGTACAGCGTTTCAGGGAGTCGTGCGACGTCACTTGCAGTGTGTCTTGTGCGTCTTGTGCTTCTTCTTATTCTTCTGGTTCTGCTTGATTGCCGTCTTTCCTTCTCTCTTCGTAACGGCAACAGCAACCAATCTACGGCAATCACCCCTGCTGCGTGCCGTGTGTGTGTGTGTGTGTGTGTGTGTGCGACCTGGTGTGAGGTGAAGAGTGCCCAAAGAAGGAAGGGGAGGAAGCAAACGAAGCTGTGCTCGAGCACAGCGAACGATGAATTGATTGACGTGATGAACACGAATCGATGTGATGCGTGATGTGGCAGACGACGGCAACGAAAAACGACAACACAAACGACAACGAACAACCACACACACACACACAGAGGCCAACCAGGCCAGAAAGCATGCTTCTTGCTTGCGGTTCCCCAACAACATTGCACCACAACCACCACCTTCAGCACCCATTCAGCCAGGCCATCAGCCAGCCATCCCATTCATTCCACCGCCACCAGCAACCGCTCGCTCCCCCCACCCACACACACACACACACACACACACACACACACGCCAGACAAGCACGCCGCTCTCATACCATTCGTTTGCCGCTGCGTTCTTCCCGACAAAATTTGGGATCTGATGCACAATTAGCGAATTCGTGCAGGGTTATTTTTTGCTGTCGTGCGACGTTTTTGGGGCGGGGGACCCTAGTGCCAAATTGTGGGAGTTTTGAGCACTGTGGCAAGACATTGCCAAGAACCGCTGTAGCTCGCGACGGCACATGTTGCAGCGCTGAATTGCACTTGCAAAGGCCCCCTCCAACCACCCGCCAACTCGCGCTTCCTTCTTGAAACGGCCATTTCCCACTGCACACCACCACCCAAAATGAGCACGACCTTGACGAGGCAATGTCCCCACGTCGCTTGCAGCTTCACTGAGGCCACCGGCAATGTCTCACGGCTGATCGACCACATCAAGGTCACACACGACCTCACCGAAATCCCATCCCTTCTGGCCTTGGTGCAAGTTGTCAACGTTGGTAGTGGTTCTGGTCCTCACCGCTGCGAGAAGTGCAACAAGACGTGCAGGTCTGTTCGACACCTCAAGGATCACATTCGAAAGTCAAAGGCGCATGAAGACGAGTACAAGGTACTTGCCCGCGCTTGCCTCTGTCCCCCAATGCCTGTTTTATGTTGGCGCTGCCTTTGCTGGCACAGCCACACAACCTTTTTGTGCTCACAACTGGCACACACTTGCATGTTGCGTTGCATATGCTGTTCACAACAGACGAGGGACACGTTTGTTTGCGTGAACTGTGACTGTGGCGGGTTTCCGAGCTGCGCACAGCTTGTGGCACATATCCAAAGCAACCATCCTTCATACCATGAAACGGGTGCGTCCTTTGCCGCCTTTGACTGCTCTCGTGTTCTCGTTCATGTCACCCTGGTTTCTGTGTGCTTGTGTGTGTCGGGCCACATACATGCGCATCCGATGCACCCCTCCCACTCATTCACGCCCATCGCTGTGCTTGTGTCAGTGGTGGATATGCGCCATTTCAGAACCCTGAACGCCTTCGCGGCGTGGCTGCTCGATGAACAGGAGACGACATATGCGTCCTACACGAATGAGCCATGGACTGATCTCAAGCGGAGGACACCAACAACCTGGGGTGCGCTGCATTGTTGTTTTAGGGTGCTGTGACCTTCGTTTGCCTGTATCTTGATGTTCCTTTTTTTTTGTTTGTTTCCCCAATGTGCATGCACTCACGTGTTGGATGTATCGGCGTGTACTCGCGGTGAACCGACGCAAAAGGCACCAAATCCGTTGGGTACTGTCCAGCTCTGTGTGTCGTGACGCTGCCTGAGTGTGGCCGAGTGCGGGCTGAGCTGTTCAAGGAGCACACTTATAGCCTGAGTGTCCTTGGCATCCCAATACCGGATGGGGTGAGGCTTTGGATCCGGCCAGCACCTCGCTTGCACGGTGGTGTGCTCCTGAATTCACCTGCATGAGCGCGGCACTCCCGTCACTCCTTCTGTGTCTCTGTGCACGTGTGCATGGTTTGATTCGAACAGTTTACAGCCAGCATGCACACCCTCGCCCGAGGGAAGCACGGCGCGGGCTATGTATTAGAAGAAGGCATCACCAACAACCGCAGGACGTGTGTGTACGCGAACAAACTGTTGCAGCGAGACAGCAACGTCAACGGCAGCAGCGCGCGCACTTCGCCCCACTAATGCTGAGGCGGAAACGCCGCTGAGCCCGACAGCGCAGACCACAAAGGTTCGTTCCGCAAAAACCAACCGCACAAGTGTTACACCCACCTGCACAGAGGTTGTGGTTGATAGACTCGCCACCACACGTCGCGCACACACATACAAACATGAACACACACACTCTCTCTCTGTCTCACCCGCACACACACACACACACACTCTCATTCTCTCTCACGCACACACACACACACACACTCTCTCTCTCTCTCTCTCTCACGCAACCAGCACCGCGCCATAACGAGAAGCTGGGCCGCAATCACACCCGCTGGATGAGCAAGGAAGTGATGGTCGTTGTTGGTGTTGGCAAACCGCAGACCCTCGACCGCAGCTACATCAGGTTCGAGCTAGGGTCACGGTGCTTGCGTCATCTCATCAGCCCATGTCTTGTTTTCTGTTTGCCCCCTTGTTCGCGATCGTGGCTGCCTTGTGGTCATCTCCGCCTTAACGTCCAACACATCCATTGCCAGACTTCATGGCAACTAGCTTCTTGACGACAAGCTGGTCAACTTCTGGCTGGTGCGTCTCCAACGCACGTCTGACTTCGCCACCAGCTCCTACGATGTAGGTGTGTGGCTTGGGCGGAGGGGCTTGTACTGTCTGGCTCCTGCTTGTGCTTTCATGCGTGCGTGTGTGCGTGTGTGTGTGTGTGTGTGCGTGCGTGTGTGTGTGTGTGTATTTCTCTTTGCCACATGCCCTCGCTTCGTAATATGCAGGTCTTGGCTTCCAACCGACCGCGGTCGCCCACAACTCATCCCATCGACTGTGTCACATTCTGTGTTGGCGGTACAGGGGGTCGACAGCCTGATATGCTGGGCGAAGCGAGAAGCTCCATCCAACAAACGGTTTGGATTATCCCGTAGACATCTGCTGGTGATTCGAGATTGCATGCTGCTGAATCAACGAGGATGGCGAGCCGCGTTGGTTGTCTGTGAGTGGCTTGCCTGTGCGCTGTGCATGACAGCCTGCGCTGCCTCTTGTTGGAGCTTTTCCAATCCACACCCTCACGCTGTGTGTGTGTGTGTGTGTGTGTGTGTGTGTGTGTGTGCAGCGCCCAATGGTACCTGGCCATTGTGGGCTTTCTTTTTGAATGAAACCGCCCACCACTGTGGTGAGTAGGGCGGGAGATGTCTTGCCGGCACTGCCACAGCTGGAGTACCTTCCTCTCTCACACGTGAGCCAGCGCGACCAAGTCCCCATTCCTCTTCCATTCACGCCGCTGTATCATGCCAATGACTCAAACAACGATGGCACTGGTAGCGATGATGGTGGTGGTGGTAATGGTAGTTTGGATCACGGCAGCAGCGCTGTGCACGATGGTGCGGTGTCGTCGGGAACAGCGACACCGCCATCAGCGATTTGCAACTCGTCGTCACAGACATCCACGTCGCTTGCACACCTTCCGGCATCGCTCTCCCTGCCACCTCCCCCATCAAACGAGGACACGAATACCACCAGCGCCAGCATTGACAACAGCAGTGGCAACAGCGGTAGCGGTAGTGGTGGGCATGAGGCAAACCAACTGCTGCTGTCGACGGTTGTTGGACAGGCGGAGCAGCGTCTTCCTGTTCGCTCGTATTGGCAGACACACGACCACCTGTGGTCCTTCCACGACATCCGCTCTGTCGTCACGTCTGACCTTGCCATCTTTGGCGATGGCGAGAAGCCCGTGCCGGCCATCAGCCTGAAGCTGCGGGAGGACGGACAGTCAATCAACGTGCTCACTGGCATGGATCTCTGGCTGGACAACCTCATGTGCAACGTCCCAGAGATTATGATGTGCTACCACACGGTGCGTGAGTTTGTGTGTGTGTGTGTGAGAGAGTTTGTGTTCGCTTGTGTGTGTGTATTTGTGTTTGTTTGTTTGTGTGTGTGTGTATGTGTTTATGTGTTTGC